GGGTTTAGGGTTTAGGGTTTAGGGTTTAGGGTTTAGGGTTTAGGGTTTAGGGTTCAGGTCTTTGGGTTTTAGGGTTTAGGGTATAGGTTCTAGGGCCCCAAAAGCCCCAGGAGTTGTTACAGATTGTTCTCGCGCAGCAGCGCGCCTTGGCAGCATCAGCGGTTTCACCCTACATCGGGGTTTCCGAAAGGTTTAGGGTTTAGGGTTTAGGGTGTAGGGTTTAGGGTTCAGGGTTTAGGGTTTAGAGTTATTTAGGGTTTAGGATTTAGGGTTTAGGTTTCCGAGATTCGGGGTGTCCTAGCCCCCCCCCCCCCCCCCCCAAGCAGCGGGGGGGGTACCTTGTTGGGGTCCTTGTTATGAGGGAATCCTACTATTTGGGGGGTCTATATCAGGGGTCCCTTATTTTCGCAAACCCTCACTTTTGTTCTTTTGTATTTGTGAGTGTGTGTGTGTGTTGTTTTTTTTTTTTGGGGGGGGGGGGGGGGGGGGGGCTGTATGGGCCCTTTGGTCCACAACCTTACAGAACTTGGCAGCCCAGTCCAGTGGCACTTTTTTTTTCAAAATCTTTTTGGGTCATGGCATTGGGTTCTCTCTGATAAAGGCAACCATCCTCCAAAAAGAGCACTCTTGCCATAATATGGTAACTGGGCTACCAGGCATAAACCGCTTTTCCTTTTCCTACCCTAAACTCTAAACCGTAAACCCCAAACCCCTAAACCCTTTTCTTTTAATGTATTGCCCCAAAGCAGGCGGGCCATGGGCCACCCTGGAAATCCTGAAGCCTAAATCTAATGTACATGGGCTCCGTAGAGTTGTAAAGGGTATATATGGGGCATATAAGGGGTCCTCTCTGAACGGCCCATGCTAACCGACCATGTAACCACCCTAAGACTAAACCCGCCTCACCTCCCCACCCCCCCTCCCCCGCCCTCCCCCCCGGCATCTTCGCAAAGTAAACACCCAACGAGCGGTCAGCCCTCGTAACCCTGACGCGCCCAATCCCTCCGCATCGCTTTCTTGCAAGGCCGCTCCCAGCCCCAATTCAGAAGCCCCCATATTCTATCTTTCTTCGATCATCATGGTGGGCATAGCCACTTGGGGACGATTTTGGATTCTCTCCTCCTTGGTTGATCTTGTAGCTTACTTAGGGACCCTGGGCAGCCACTCCACAATTCTAGAGTTCCTAGGGGTGAAGGTCGCTGTTCAACTTGCAAGACTTGTGTAGGGCGTTCCGGGCCTCTGAGGCTCAGAGGGTTTTCTTGAGAACAAAAAAGTTGAACCTTTTTTCCCTTTGGTTATTGGAGAGGTAAGTAAAAAAGGCCGTTATTATGTTCAGGGCCTTGGGGCCCGGACCTCTGCAGGCGAGATCCTGGACCTTCAGGACACCTAGCGCGGTGTGCACTCGACCTTTTGGGTAGGGTCTTCGGTTCCCTTTATAAGCCCCTGCAGGCTGCAAAGGGCACCGATTTTATTCCTAGGTTACTCTTGGGTCTAGATAAGGAGCATGTTAGGGCTTTAACATGAAGATCCTGCCCCCCCCCCCCCCCCCCCCCCCCCCCCCCCCCCCCCCCCCTCTAAACCCTGAACCCAAAACTTTGAACCCTAAGCTGATACTAAGGCTTATGAGACCCTATACCGGAGCCCTGAACCCCACCTAAACCCTTAACACAGCCCCCCCCCCCCCCCCCCCCCCACACCCCCCACCCACATGCCCCACCCACCACCCCCTCCCACACCCCCCTCCCTCCCCCCACCAACAAAAGCCCTGCCGGTTGACAGGAGAAGCTGCGACACAGGCCCGAGCCCCCCGAAAGGCCATCCACCTCAGGGTTTCAGGACTTTTCAGGACTCGGGCTTGAGGGTGTTTAGGGTTTAGGGTGTAGGGTTTAGGGTTTCGGGTTTAGGGTAGTGGTCAAGGGATTCTGCCTGGTACCCCTGAGGCTGCACTCGAAAGGCTGGGGATCTCTTGGGAGACCCCTCTAAAAAAGAATCCCTTCCAAAATTCTCTAAGTTGGGGCTCCTGTAGGCAAAAGCCACCCTAAACCCTCCCTAAGCCCCAGTGACTTAGGGGATCCAGGAGGGCTTGCCGAGGCGAGAGTTACTTGGGAGTGTGCCAGGGATCATGGGTTTTATAGGGCTGGGTCTCGGGTTTAGTTTAGGGTTTAAGGTTAGGGGTTAGGGTTTCGGGTTTAGGGCTGGGGACATGCAGAGATTCGATCGTGGTGGTGAGAAGGCCTAGGTATAGGTTTGGGGTTGCAGCGGTAGGTGTCCTACGGAGCCCGATTCTAAAGGGTACCCTTCAGGGAAAGCCCATGTGCTGGTTACTGCGCGCCAAAGGCACCAGCAGCAAGTTTCTGGCTAGACCATTAGGGTTTAGGGTTTAGGGTTTAGGGTTCAGGGCCTGCCCCATGTTCTTCGCTCCCACTACAGAGGAGCTGCGACAAAATGCCAGGGTTTCGTGTCTTGCGCGCTCGTGTCTTGTTTCAGTATTTCCCCTGCCGTTAGGGCTTTTGGTGTTTCTGGGGCTCTAGCCCAGGGTTTAGGTGAAGTCCCTCAGATCCTTCCTTTCAACAGCATTCTATGCAGGTTTCCGAAAATTGGGGTACTCGTTGGGGGGGGGGGGGGGGGGGGGGGTCCTAGAATGAAAACTACACATTTTTTGTGTGTGTTTTTTTCGGAATACCCCCTACATGAGGAATACCCCTTATCAGGCATCACCAGCAGCAGTGGCCGGCCCAGCGTCAGAGGCAAGCGAGCCTTTTTTTTTGTTTTTTGTTGGGGGGGGGGGGGGGGGGGGGGGGCGTTTAAAGGTTAAGCACAAGGGGCGGGGGGGGAGGGAGGGTTTGGATGGTTTTGGGGGGCTAGCCTAAATGCTGAACCCTAAGCCCTAAACCCTCAAGTGGGTTTCGACTTTACATTCTTTGGCTTTTGAAAGAGGTTGGGTCTTCGGTTTGCAGGCGTAGGGTAGTCATAAAGACCTCTGAACCACGCTACCCAATCGACAATTCTCTCGATCTCCGAGGTCCCGACCTTACTCCCCCTAATCCCGACCATGCCGCATAGAGGTTTCAGGTTTACGGTTCAGTGGTTCAGGGTTTAGAGTAATATCCCGCGTCCCTGAAACCCGACAAACCCTAAACCCAGTAGCATGCGGTGGCCTCATTGCAACGGAAGCCGGATGTTCCTACCAAACCCCAAACCCCAAACCCCAAGCCCCAAGCCCTACACACTAAACCCTAAATCCTAAACCCTAAACCCTAAACCCTAAACCCTAAACCCTAAACCTTGCAGGCAGCGCTTTGACATGTCAGGCTCGTGGGGACAGCTTTGAAGTTCCGAAACCCTGAATTGATGGTCTACTTAGGAAGTGGGGTTTAGGGTTCAGGGGTTTCGGTTAGGGTTTAGGGTTTAGGGTTTAGGGTTTAGGGTTTAGGGTTTAGGGTTTAGGGTTTAGGGTTTAGGGTTTAGGGTTTAGGGTTTAGGGTTTAGGGTTTAGGGTTTAGGGTTGTTGTGTTACTTTTGTTTAGATGAAACTCCGGGAATATAGAGAGACCCGCTAGCCCCATAGGATTCCCTGGAAGTTGTTGGATTAAAGCTTCGTTGCTTTGATAGAGGTCTGGGGGCTTTCGTGTCTCAGCGCTGGCTAAGAGCCAGACTGGGCCCTCATTCCGTGTTTTTGGGGGTTTGGGTTCCCTTACGAGCCCCTCAACCCTAAACCCTAAACCATAAACCCTAAACCCTAAACCCTAAACCCTTTTGAACCAGAAAGGGCACCCCGGGGCATTCTTTGTATTCCTGGGTTACTCTTGGGGTCTAGATGATGGACAAGGCGTTTGGCGCTTAGGCTTGAGGGTCGCAGCGCCTTCAGGCCTTCCTGGTGGACCGAATAAACCCTAAAAGGTTTATGCCCCCTAAACCCTAAACCCTGAACCCTGAACCCTAAACCTAAACCCTAAACTATGGTTCGTATGAAACAGGATTCATATTACTGTTATTGGTAAGTGTGTGTAAGGTTCCTTTTTAGTATTGGTGAGTGTATATGTTGGGTGTCCTTTTTCTTGGGGGATACAAGAAATATAAACCCTATAGTTCATATGCCTTAATAGGAAGTATCGTAGTATTGGGTGTACGACCCAGATTTTGGGGTTCATTTGGTCCCCCGCTTTGGGCTATCCCATGCGGGGTTCCGTGCCAGGCAGGCTTGAGGCTGCTTTTCCAGAGCTGCAATTCATAGCAGTCCCCAAAAACTCCCGCTCTTATATGGGTGAAGTAGATTCTTGGGGCTATCTTCTTTGGGGGGAGAGGGGTTCGGCTGCTTGCACTGGACGTTCTTTGAGTTGTTTACATTTCCGACGGGTGTCGTTGATCGAGTCTCCCGAAAATCCGTACACGCGCTCGTCCCACGAGTTCCCTGTTGTGGCGACTTTGGAAGCCCTGCATTTGTTTGCTCACAAAACCCCCCAAACCAGATACAAACCGTGCGGGACCTTGCTAACCTTGGGGACCAAATGAACCCCCAAAATTGGGGTCATATACCCTGTCCTACTTTAATTCCTATGATGGTATATGAACCATAAACCCTTTTCGGGTTCATTTGGTCCCCAAAAAAGCAGACCAAAGCTGAAACGCCTTCTTCCAGGACGCCCTCAGCGGCGGAACCCCGCAACCTCTCCCTTAGCAGTCCTGTGCCAACAAAGGCTACGCCTCGAAGTAGGAGGCCTCGAGGCCCTTATTCCCTTGTTTTTAGGGTTGGGGTATCCCTGATAATCCCCTTATAGCCAAGAAAGGGTGCATTTGTTTGTTCCTAGGTTGCTCCTGGATCAGCAGACGCGATGCTGTAGTTGCGTGTCCCTTCGTTCACAGATCCCTCAAGGTACCCTAAACCCCGAACTCGGTTTAGGGTCTAGGGTTTTGGGTTTAGGGTTTAGGCGGGACCGCAGACGATATGGACACAATTCTTAGAAGCAACCAACGAACTGGAGGACGCGATCTTACAGGCAATGCCGGCTCCTCCAACGACGGGGCTGGAGAACACCTTGGACCGCGCGGAGTGGTTTTTGAATCAAATCCGGACTCTGCCCGATCCGTTGCGTGCGAGACTTACTGACCTGATCACGCAGCGACATGAAACTCTGCTACAGGCATCGCCCGGGCAGGAACTTATGGAAGAATTTACGCTTCGTCAAGCAGGCACAGAGGCTCAGACAGTGGTATCGGCACTGAGAGGGAACAGCAGTCAAGCAAGCACCTTGGAAGGGAATGAGGCCTCTGCATCGGCTACGGAGACCACGAATCCAGAGGCAAAAGAAAGATCAACGCAGGAGCTTTCCCCTACCACGGGTTGAGGGTTGAGGGTTGAGGGTTGAGGGTTGAGGGTTGAGGGTTGAGGGTTTAGGGTCTAGTAACCCCGCAGCATGCCCCCCCCCCCACTTAAACCCTAAACAACAGCAATACCTAAGCTCCCAACCTCTCTACCTCAAGAAAAAGAGAGAAAAGAATCAAAAACCTGCCTCTTTACCCTAGCCGCTAAAGTGTGGGGGCTTGAGTGGGGCATGGGACGGGAGGGTGGGGGTTTAGGGTTCAGGGTTCAGGGTGTAGGGTTTAGGGTTTAGGGTTTAGGGTCTACGCCGGCCAGGGCCAAACCTCCTCCAGAGGCCTTGGCAGCGCGAGCCCCGGTTGGGGGTGCACAGCCCAGACCAACCCTCAAACCCTCAGCCCTAAACCCTCAACCCTCTAGAAGGACGGGCGCCCCTAGACATGTGTAGAGTTATCAGGAACCTGAGTTTGGGGTTAGAAGGATCCTAACTTGGGTTATCAGTCCCTTAACTATAGCTAGCAAAAAGAGGGCCTCCTTGTACCCTAAACCCTCAGCCCTCTACCCCTAAACCCTCAACCCTAGACTGGGGTGGTACCAGGTTTAAAGCACTCGAGGTGCCCCAAATGCCAAAAGGTTATAGGGATCTCGGGTGGGGTTCGGGATTTAGGGATTAGGGTGCAGGGTTTGCTTTTTTGGCGCTGAAGGGGGCAGTGCTGGGTGTAGGAGCGTAGGAGTTCGGGTCGCAGATTGGTGTCTGCAGGGTGCTTCGGCGCACGCGATGCAGCGTCAGACGGCTTGTTCCGTCATTGGAGTCGTTGGTTTAGGGTTTAGCCTGGAGATTCCTTTGACTACAATTTTTTGTGCTTTTTGACCTTCGACCGCAAACGCCCGCAAATCAGCGCCAACGCCCGCAAACCACAAACATCCGCAAAACGCCTGCAACAACCAGCAAAACGCCCGCAAAAAGCCGCAAAACAGCGCAAATATCCGCAAACAAAAACTAAGCGCCTAAAACGGCTAGAAAAATCAAAACATCCAAAACGTGCAGAATATTTTAGTCGAATGAAGGTCCAGGAGGGTTTAGGGTTTAGGGTTTAGGGATTACGGTTTAGGGTTTAGGGTTTAGTGTTTAGGGTTACTTCATGGAATGAGCTTCGCCGGAACGCGGTGACTCAAGGCCAGATGGGGACCAGTCGAGTACGCTAAAGACCACACAACCTATCCAAAAGATCGAGGCCCACAATAGTCCCACAACGCGTGTTGCAGATTGGAATCTACACTCGACACAGCCGAAGTAAGCACAGCTTCCCGCGTCAAATTCCCGAACGCCAAAGTTTTAGTGAGGACTTAGGGAACCCATAGTCCCTGACCCTCAACACTCAGCCCTATTTGGAGACTACCTTGGCATGAGCCCTAAACCCTAAACCTTGAACCCTTTTCCCAAGGCCAGCACCTGCGCCAGTTCCCAAGCAGCCGGCCGTGAGCTGAGTCGAACCCAAGTTTAGGGTTTAGGGTTTAGGGTTTAGGGTTAGGGTTTAGGGTGGTGTCTGGGCTACTACCAGTACCAAGGTTATGCATGTGGCACCAATTTTCCAGTTTGCAAGTGGCAACCCCCTTTAGACATTAGAAACACAGAACAAGTGCGTTCTTGGGGATTCGATCACGTGCTGAGTGCCCTATCTGTTCTTGTTAGATGAGTGCAGTGTGCTGCAAGGAACTTTGCTGCTTGGACGTTGATCAGTTCATGATCCAGCTATGTTACCTGGATGGAACCGACGTCAAAAGTTGACGACCTCAAAGAACGGCAAGATATCAAGCCGCCCCGCATAAAGGCGAGCATCGTCGTGGACTGTCAACCTGTCCCCCTAAACCGTAAACATCTTCCTACAAAACCCTGTACAAGAAGGGGCCCCCTTACTATAATGGCCATACTTAAGGGACTTAGAGCCTAAGTTATAGGATCCTTGTATCCCAATTTAGGGTCCTGATAACTCTACTTAGAACTAGGGGGGCTTTAGACCCAAGCCATAGAAGCACACAACGCTACACTTCACGTCCAAGGCCATGATCGTTGCGCCACCAAGAGCACCCGTTTCGCCGTCCGGCGATTTGGAGGATGTTTGTTTCGGTTGTTCTGTCACTACGCTTGCTTCTAGCAGTTTCGGCATAATATAGGGGTCGATACAAAGACCCCCTAAGAAAGGACCACATTTTATGGCCCTTTAACCTCCAAGCCCTGAACCCCGAACCTGAAACCCTAGGATTTAGGGTAGGGGGCTGGGGCGGGAATTAGGACAAGGAATCAACGATTTGTAAGTTCAGGGCTTTGTAGAATTTGGCCTGATAGATTTGGGGCTTCATTGAGCGTTGCAGCTAAACCCTAAACCTTAAACCCTAAATTTAGACCTTAAACCCTAAACCCTAAACCTGATACCCTAAACCCTAAACTCGCACGCGCCTAGGAGGTTGGAAAGGATAAAAGGCTTCGCTCTTACACGGTTGCGGGTTTCGGGTTTCGGGTTTTGGGTTTAGGGTTTTGCTTTTCGGGTGTAGGTTCTTTAGGGTTAGGGTTTGCCGTTCTTGGCCGTTTAGTTTAGAGGTTTTGGTTCCGGGTGTGGGGTCTTTGTGGTTCGGGTTTTCTGTTCTTGAGAGTCGTTGCGCTTAGGGTTTTGGTTTTTGGGGGGCGGAGGGTCTTTAGGGTTTGGTCTTTCTGTTCTTGAGAGTCTAGTGTTCGGGCTAAGAGGGCTCTAAACCCTAAACCCTAAGCCCCAAACCCCAAACCCTAAACCCTAAACCCTAATCCCTAAGGGTTCAGAGCATAGGGCTTGGGGCTTTCTCTGCCTTAGGATCCATAAGATTCGGGTTTAGGGTTTAGGGCTTGGGGTCTAGGATCTTGTTATTCCTTTTGGTTCTTTAGTGTCCATAAGTTATCGAGCTTAGGAGGAATGGTTTGGGAGCTTCGGGTTTAGGGTTTAGGATTTAGGGTTTAGCGTTTAGGGTTTAAGGGTCTTGAGGGGCGTTTCAGGGTTTAGGGCTTCGGGTGCTAAAGCCCTGCAAACCTAAACCCACGCCTGACCCACCCCACACCTAACGGTGGATGGTTTAGGGTTAAGGGTTAAGGGTTAAGGGTTTAGGGTTTAGGGTTTAGGGTTTAGGGTCTTAGTAACGTGTACTTTCAGGCTCCTGGCAACCTTGCCCCCATGTTTAACCTTCTTAGCAGAAGCCTCCCCAAACACAGAAACCCCTAAGTCTACATTCCCGCCAAAACCCTGAAGCCCCTAAACCCCAAACCCTAAACCCTGAGCCCTAAACCCCATACAGGAGCCGGACGAGCCATGCACCGCCGAGGCACTCTGCCAAGGCTGACCTGACACCGGGCATAAACCCTAAACTCTCTTCAATTGCATGGTTTGGGGTTTAGGGTTTAGGGTTTAGGGCTGAAGTCCCAAACCGAAAACCCTAAACCCTAAATACTGAGGGCTTTGCGGGGCTTTGGGCCTCCAGGGGCTTTAGTCTTTGTGATTTAAACCCTAGACCCTAAACCCCAAACCCCAAACCCTAAACCCTAAACACTAGTCACTAGACCCTAAACCCTAAACCCTAAACCCTAAACTGAAGAAATTCAATATTTTCCAGAATCTTATTTCTCAGGGTTGTTTGGCGCGGGTTACGTAGTTGACAGGAACAAGCTTCGGCAATAGCCTCAGCCACGCCATCCCGGTAAGCCAAGAAAGAGCATAGGGTTTAGGGTTTAGGGTTTAGGGTCTAGGGTCTAGGGTCTAGGGTCTAGGGTCTAGGGTTTAGGGGGGTACAAGGAGATGAAAAGCCCCCCTGGCTATAAGTAGACTTGCCCGAAATTGGGTTGTAAGGATCCTAACCTCGGCTCTAAGTCCCTTAACTAGTTTTCATTATACTAAGGGGGGCTCCTCCTTACCTTCAACCCTAAACCCTAAACCCTAAACCCTAAACCCTAAACCCTAAACCCTAAACCCTAAACCCTAAACCCTAAACCCTAAACCCTAAACCCTAAACCCTAAACCCTAAACCCTAAACCCACCCTACAACACCCCAAGAAGGCGAGGCGTCGGCCTTGGCGATGCTCAAGGCTTGCGCAGAGCTGGCCCGTGCCGCAGCGGCGTGGTTGCAAGGTTTAGGGTTTAGGGTTTAGGGTTTAGGGTTTAGGGTTTAGGGTTTAGGGTTTAGGGTTTGTGGCTTGTGGCTTTAGAACCCTCCCCTGCCTACAAGGAGGCCCCCCCCCCCCTGGTGAAAAGTTGAGGGATAAGGGCCCTAAGTTGGGCTATAATTCCCATAAGTATAGTTAGTATACTAAGGGAGCCCCTCCTTGTAGGGTTTGTGGCTTTAAAAGGTTTACGGGCCCAGAGTTGAGTGCCTTTAGTGTCTTAGGTGTGCAAGTAGGAGTAATTACAAGCAAAATTCCCTTATTGTCCCTACATGATTATACTAGAATAACCCCCAAACCCTATTCTGATTGTTCAGGCCTCTATATTATATGAGGGCTTTTGGGCGCACTGACCCCTGAAATAGCATCTGTGATTCGGGAACCTTTCTCAGAGGGTGCCAAGTGTAAGGATTGTAGAATGTCGGCATGCGCAGGCACCCCTATTTCTGGCAACCCTAAACCCTAAACCCTAAACCCTAAACCCCTAAGCAGTAAGACGTGCGGGGTGTCTTGATTCCAGTTTTGAGGTGAGTTGTCAGATGGCGTTCGGGGAAATGACCCGCTTTTTGGGTCTTAGGATACAATTCCAGACCCTAAACCTTGAACCTGGACCCTAAAAAACCCTGAACCCTCATTGTAGACCCTAAGCCCCGAAACCCTAAACCCTAAACCCCTAAACCCTAAACCCTGAACCCCAAGCCCCAAACCATAAACCCGAACCCCTAGACCCTAAAGCCTGAACCCTAACCTGCGACATAGATGCCCAGGCCGATAGTGCCACTGCGGACTGTGAAAGTACCGCACTGGATCCGCAGCCGTGTGCGTTCCACGATTTCCACGATGGAAGG